GGAAGGGTAGACAGGAGAACGGACAACCTGCCTTTTTGTCCAAAGCTATTGACAAGGAGAGTCAAAGAGGCCATCTTGACTAGGATAAGAAATGTGTTCTAGGATGTGGAGCAGATAAGTTTGAAAACATGTGGAAGCTACTGTTAGTAAGAATATACCCATGATTCTCAGCTTCCAGTTCTATGTTGGGTCCCAAAATGTTTTTAAGAATGCTTACCTGTTAGGATAAAATACCTAAGGTGGCACAATATTGGTCCATATAGTAGATGGCATTTCTGATGGGAAATTCCTAGGTAGGTGCTACAGTTCTCATTTTATAGATGAGAAGACTTTGTCGCTGGGAAGCTACTTGGTTATCACTGCCTATACCATTAAGAAACAATAAGCAAACAAACAAACAAAACCCACCAATTTATTAAACATGATACTTAAATGGGCCTTTTTACTTGCAAAACTTTAAGAATGAGTTTATATGCTCTTCTATATACTCTTCACAGAAGCTCTTTCAAGCCAGTATTATCTCCAGTTTACAGTAGGAACTTAGACGCTCACATAGTTGAATGGCTTGCCCAAGACCACAGGACCCCAGACTGGAATCTAAGTCCCTTGAATCCAACTTTAGAAGTTTTTCCCTTCACACAGCAGCTTCTCGTGGTTGGTCAAGGAGGTCAATTTGAAAAGAGGGCTTGCATAAGGCAGTGGTATTCACACTTGAGAGAAGAATCAAAAAGATATCATGATGCCACCCTGCTTGCAGAATTGCTCAAGACTTTGTACGCCCAGAGCTGCCTCCTTTAAGTAAGGTACCTTTATCACAGCACATTGAAAATACAGAGGTGACTTAACCTCAAGGAGATTGTACTTGGCCATGAACATCTTGTCCATATCATATGCCCATGTATGACAAGGATTTTTATTTATATAATGAAAACAATTTTTGTAGTCTCTCAAGTGGTCTTTACTTAACTGTAGAATGCTTTAAAAGACATGCTGTCACAAAGAAGCTTACATGTAAAGGACCCAGAAAAGCAAACTCCTCCTTTACTTCCTGGCTAAAAGCATGGGCAAATAAATAAAGCAATTAGTTTTAGCCCAGTAAACCAGAAGGGAAGTGAGATGCGGGTGTGGAAGGAAAGCAGGGAGTATTAGTATACCTAATATGACCACAGTACCATTTGCTGCGTAGGTCTTAATTACGTCCATTCCATGTCCCCTCATCTTCTGATTTCTTAAATTCCAAAACAACCCCAGAGAGATTTTTCTGGTTTTGCTTGGAAAGCGACACAATGTTTTTCTGCCTACACATTCTAAAACAGGCCTGTCAAATTTTAAACCTAAACACAAGCTGACAGAAATCAGCTACTAGCAAATTAAGTTAAATTAATAAAGTAGACGCCTGAAATACAGGGAAATTATTTTTTTTTCCAGGAATCTTTTTCCTATGATGCCAGGCTAGATACAGAGGCTGAAGAAAACCTCCATCTCCACAGCAGGCCCTGCTTTTCTTTGCCATGCTTCCTAGAGAGCCCAACATGGAAACATTCCAGAACTACTGCTCGCCCTAGTGGCAGCCTCCAACCACCACCCTCCCATTTTCCAATTTAATGGGCATATTGTCACAACACTAAGAGTCAAATCCTCTCCTAGACTTAAAAGGATGTATGCCTTCATAGATTGCTAGCAAAAGGGACAGAATATTCGAATGGGCCAAATGTGCAGGGTACGCTTATGGGCAGCTTTCTGATTACAAGTAGAAAGCATGACTAAACAGTTGAACTTTCTGGTAGTCTCAAAGGTATTGGGGAGATGGGTGGGGTGTCACAAGCAAGAAAGCCTATTTCAAATCCTAACTCTGACTCCCCCTTCAGAGAGCTGTGTACGCTTGAGCCACAGAACTCAGTTTTGGTTTTGGGGTTCTTTTTTGGGGGGTGGGATTCCAGAGTTCAAATTTGGGCACTGGACCACTGACCCACATCTCCAGCTCTATTTTGTATTTTATTTAGAGACAGGGTCTCATTGAGTTGCTTAGTGCCTCACTTTTGCTAAGCAAAGCTTTGAACTCATGATCCTCCTGCCTTAGCCTCCCAAGCCACTGGGATTACAGGTGTGTGCCACCTTGCCCAGCAGAGAACTCAGTTTTATGAATAAAATTTATAGGATTTGTTCCATGTGTATTTTATCTTAATTAAGATTTTTATGAAGGTCAACACTATTCACCATCCAGGATTCCAGCATTACTAACAAAGGGCACTGGAAGCACCAGAGCACAGTGTGGAAGTTCTCTACCTACCTTATTTTAGCAATCCCTTCTGCTCAGTAGGAAATATATACTGGGTTTTAGAAACTAATAAACTGAAATATAGGAAGTAAAGAGATTTGCCAGTGACCATTACTTAAATCACAGAAGAACCAAAATAAAGTTCAAAAGAATTCTCTTCTAGTATTCTGCTCAAAGTGTTCAATTTAAGAATCCTTTTTTTTATCAAAAAGAGAGATGTTAGCTGGGCACATTGGTGTATGGCTATAATTCCGGAGACTCAGGAGTCTGAGGCAAGAGGATTGCACGTTCAAGGCCAACCTTAGCAGTTTAGTGAATCAGTAAGCAACTTAGTGAAACAGGGTCTCAAAAGGGCTAGGAATGTAGCTCAATGATGGTAGAACACCCCTGAGTTAAGTCTTCAATAACCTCCTCCCCCCCAAAAAAGAGAGATGTTGCTATTTGAAGGAAGCCATCTATCCTAATGGGTTTGGAGACTTAGTTAGTTTTAATCCCTACCTTTTCAGTGTGATGAAACTGAATAGTGATCTGTTAAGTTCAATCATCCTGAGTAATCAGTTCAATTGAAATTTGATTATGCCTGCTTTCATTATTCTTATTTGGAAATTATTATGGAAGCATACATATTCTTGAAACATCATAAAGATCTAAATCATAAAGTCAAGTTTATTTTTTAATATAAAACAGCTTGAACACCTGTAGAGACTTAGAATGATATTGCATTATGTTGCATCTGATAAGATTCCTTTAGAAAAGAGTGATGCTGTTTTCTAAAGTATTACATGACCTACCAATGATAAGTAAATAGTGTAGTATAGTCATCTTTCTCTTATTAGCTTCTTGGAAATAAACTAACATATAATGTTTGCCTTTGGGGAAAAAAAAAAAAAAGCTCATGTTTGATGGATGAGTGAGTGAATGCAGGGGTGAGCTCCATCACAATCTCGCACAGCTTTTCTTTTATCCCACACTCAGTTCCAATCCTTACTCAATGCCACAGAATCTCTACTGTCCCCAGTAATGTGATGGTGGTTTAGAATGGTACTGAATCAAGCACAAACCCTCCAAAAGCTTCCCTGTAGCTAAGATGTCCTATTTCCCTCCCCATCTTACCAGCACTGCTGTACATAACTAGATTGATTGGATGTAAGCCTTGCTTCCCCTGCTGCCTGCCCTTCCTTGGGCAGGAGGTAGAAGTAAGCCATGCAGTAGGCCCAAGGCCAAAAGCAGAGTGGAGAAGGCCTGACTCAGGGCCAGACTGGCTACCCACCCCAGGATGATTGAGAGGTGACCAGAGGTGCTGCTGAACTGCAAATGCCAGAGGGTCTCAGGAGACCCAGCAAGAGAAATAGAAAAGAAAGGAAAGAATTGTCTAGTGGGAGAATGTTGCTGGGGCAGGAGATCTGACTGGTAGTCTTAAATTCACCACGCGGTCTTATGAGTTCCCCTGATTTAACTGTTTTCCTTTCTTTATTGAAAAACAACCCCTGTTGCCTGCTTGCCTCCTAGGGATGGATGTTAACATGGTATTGAGTAACCAGTTCTTTGAGCTTTTTGAAACTAGGGAAATGGAAAGAATCATTAAGATGGAAATGATTGACTCAAGGAGCCCAGAAATCTCCCCAAAACCATCTCTGTGAATGCTCTGTCAACTTAATGCCCTGCCTGGCCCAAGCACTGATCTCCAACCCTATCCTCACCAACCCTCCTAGGTTCCCCATCAACATACACATTCCAGTTACTGTCATCCTCACCAAATCACCAAGACATCAGCTTCAAGCCATTGTTAGTCACTAATCTGCTTAATTGACATAAAGAAGCAAGTAGTTCCTAGAAATGGGGAAAAAAATCTAGAAAAGAAAAATCAGTAAACTGAGATTGAAAGGGTTTTGAAGTTTGTTTTAGGCACTTGCAGTTTGATTCTTGTAATTCTTTTGGGGTAAAAATAATATCTGATCTAGACTAATTGTTCTGGAATTGTTTCTTTATGACACAAAAGGACAAGTTTTCCCTTTATTCTGCTGGACACTTTCTTTACAGAAAGCCCTCTGTAGTATTATGGGAAATGAAAGCAATAAATAAGACCTGAGTTTTGTGCTTCATAGTATTTATAGCCTAATGAAGACTGTGTGTTTGTGTGTATGTGTATACAAGGACACATAAGTAAAAATATATGCATTTCACACATGCATACATTTACTGAGAATTGAGAGGTAGTTTTACAATTTCTTTAAAATATGTGCATCATATACTCTTATCAAGATCCCACCCCCAAACCTTAACAGACGCCTCTTTCCATATCTTGAACCCCTGCCTTCTTCCTACCACTGTTCCAAGCCCACTCCTCCTTCATAACTTTGTATTCTCCTTAGTAAGCCTTCTGCAAATCTCTCTGCACTATCTTTTTCTACCATACTCTCTCATCCCTGATGTTTTGTGGGTTATATGTTTTTAGCGCACATGTCATCTGCTTCAACTAGTAGCATTTAGATAAAGTAATTAACAGGCTGCAAAAGCAATCTAAAACCTCCTGATTTGAGATTGCAATCAAAATCACACCAACTGAAATAGCAAGAGAGCCTAGTTTCCCTAATGTCCTAACTGGTCTCTCTTAGTATTTAAAAGAGAGTTCTAAATATACCTCAAGGTTCCTTCCTGCCTTCCCAATGTTGAATACCAAAAAGGAGTCCACTGACTTGACATTTCTTTTCTGTTGCTCCAGGATTCTTCTACAGCCAGATGATTCCTTACAGATCTTGGCACCAGTGGAAGCTGATGTGGGTTTCTATACTTGCAATGCCACAAATGCCCTAGGATATGACTCTGTCTCCATTGCCGTCACATTAGCAGGTAACCTGGCAATCCCCATTCAGTTCTGTTCAAAAGACTTCATTGAATGAATGCCTATAATATATCACACAGGCCCAGGGACACATAGATAAATGTGACCCAGTCCCTGCCCTCAGGGAGTTTCTAGTCCATAATCATATTAGGACTGAAATATGAGGTGGAATGAAGTGGGTTCTGTAACTGACAACCAAAGAGCATGCAGAGACAGTTCCTCCCAGCTGGAGTTGGGGTGGGTAGAATTTTGATAAGCAGAAAACATTCTGACATAAAGAAAAACATGAGCAACAGTGATGTGTGCAAGTACATAGTGTGTCAGGGAATGTGGAGTGTGAACTATGATTGTTAAATGCTGTTTGGGGATCCTGTCATTTCTCCTTGTTCTACTTGTTGCAAGAAAGACTTTGAGACCTACCAGTTACTGGAATTCTGTGGTCATGGCTTGGAGCAGGAATGTTGTTCCAGAGACCTTCTCTCTGATTCTGCTTTGCTTCAACCTCTGGGCCTAATGCACCTGCCAACACTTAGTCTTTATCGGTAGAGGTTAAACAAAACATTCTTCACGCAGGAACTAAGAAACACTGCAGCTCAGTACAGTGATCCCAAGGCTGGGGTCTTGGAGTAATGTACTTTCATAAAATTTCTTTACATGGGACAAATCTATGCCTTTGAAACTGAAAGAGACTTTAAATACCAGATGGACCAATGCCTTCATTTCTCAGAGGCCAGGCAACCTGAGGTCACACAGCTGCCCAGCTAGTGTTGGGGACAAGAAGGGAGCAGAGGTCCCCTAAAGCCAGCCTATTGTTCTCTCCACTGCCTTACTGATCCTATCAAAATAGGATCCTTTCTCTTAGAACTGGGCCATAAAGTCCTTGTGGCAGTGTGTCGCATGTGTTTGTATTTATTCTTTTCAATTGCTGCTTCCATCAGATGATTCAGTAGATGCTAGAAAAGCCAACATCACCCTACACTGACCTCATCCGTCCGTGCTGGGATTATGTTGTCACACTGTACTCCAATCACACATGCTACTCCCTTGCATATCTGTTTAGCAACAGTATTTCTGACCCCATGACCTAAGGCTGATCTGGGAAGGGACCTTTAGCAGGCGGCTTTGCGAGGAAGATGAAAGTCAACAGTGAAGAAGGCAAGCTAGGGGGCTCTGGGGCGGATTAAAGACTGATATTATTAATGCCTGTTTTTCTGTGGATAAAACATTTGCTTTCCTTCTAATGTATTCCAGTTGCAATCTTTATTCTCCTCTTTATACAGAGTCCAGATGCTCAGCAATAATTTTGTTAAACCTCTTCTGCCATCCACCCTCCACCCTCCCACCTTCCTTAGCAAGGGCACTGCTGACATCCTTCCAATTGCTGGCAAATAGTGGCCTTGCAGAATTAACTCTCTTGTTTATATTTATCCAGATATGGTTCATCTCTGTCATAGACTAAATACCCTTTGTTCGCCCAAATTTAATACGATTAATGGGAACCTGTCTGGAATTAAGCAAGGCAATTGTAACATCAGGCTTGTCTTCAGCTCTTTGAAGAAGAGATATTGAAGCTGCCAACAGGTTCAAAGCCAGGGAAGAGAAACAGAGCGGCCAAAGAGGCACCAGGGAAGGGGAGGAAAGGAGCTGGCTGATGAGGTATGATCATAAACAACACACCCAAGACTTACGGAGCTGTGTGCCTGGATTTCAGCTGCTGGTATTTGTTCAGGTCTGCTGGCAAATCTGTCCAGTGGTGCCTCTAAAAGGAAAGCTCAGAATTCAGGCCTTAAGATCAGGTTTGCGCCTTTATCAGGGATTATCTTCCACACCTGCACGATGTTTACACTCACAGTGGGAGGTAACTCACCAGTTACTGTTCTGAGCATACCCTCTGCCAAGTATTGTGGGACATATAGAAATACATACAACCTGAATTCTGTGTTCTGTGATGCTTGCAGACTAGTCAATACAGTCAATGGACATGTGATTACCCAACATTGAAAAATCACTACAGTTTGCTTTAAATATGTGCATCAAGATCCTGCTCAGTATACACGATAGAACCTAAATATAAACTAAATTTGGGGTTGGTAATCAAATTTCTGAATTTGATTACCAGTTAGACTGCTTATTAGCTTTGTGATCTTGAACACAGTGCATAACCTTGTTGTGTCTCCAATCTCATCTATAAAAATGAAAATACAAATTTACAGGGTTGCTGTGAGGTTGAAGAAGAGTGTAGCTATGAAAAAGTGCTAGCCAGTCACATCATTCATAGTAAATGTAGCTTCCCATTCTTTCCCTACCTCTTCTAGATTGAAACACACATTAAAAGCAGTTCGAAGATGTGAGAAACATCAGTCCAAATCTGCTTCCATGTATTTTGCAGTTTAAACCTTAACACTGATATATTCCAAATATAGACTTAGTTTGCTTGCAGTCAAATCCTCATAGTCAATCTCAGTTCTGCTGTACTTTTAAAGGAATCACTGAGCTTTTGCCTGGACTTTATTATAAATATAGGCCAAAAAGAATAAAAGTATTTTGGAGGCTCAAGATAATCAGGTGTCCCCATGATTTCATAGGGAAAGTATGGACTTCTGCCTTGCCAGTGCACCTGACCAGATTCAGGGATATTTGTTATTGATGATTCACAAGAGCAGGCATAGCATGGCAGTTAAGCCTGTGAGCTCTGGAGCCTCAGGATCCAGGTTTGAATCATGGGTCTGACACTTCCAAAGCTGCATAATCCTGAGCAACTTCTTCAAACTTACTGACTTAGATTCTTCATCTGTTAAATGTACCAGAATCAGAGAGATCTTATGGGGACTGAATGTACTCATTCACATAAAATGCTTAGACTTGTGCCTGACTTGTAGCAAGTGTTCGATATCCGTTAGATATTAATTATTAGGATAATGCATAAAGCCAAAGTCGACTTATTTGTACAGTAGGAGAGACCCAAATGCTTCAGAGCAACTTTCTCTCCGTGTCCCAGTGGCAACTGGGGAAGCTGACTTAGCCATCTGGAAAGTGCTTGGCGCACTTGGATTCAGAGCAAGGGAGTTGACTTGTGATGAGGAATATTTCACAAGGGCCACAGGGAGAGAGGCCTCATGAACTCTCACTGGCCACAGCAAAACCTTTCTCATTGTGTTTGCCCATCAGGCCCTGGCTACAGTGTACTGCAGATTCTGCCACTCAGACTCATTTTACTTCTAGCACTTCCTTTCTATACAATTTAACTTTAAACACAAAAATACTATATTTAGTTTCAGACACACTAACTCCATCAAACCTGTCTTGCTCTGCATTATTTGGGCCTGCAAAATATTGTCCCTTTAGTACCTTTGGCTTCTCTCCAAATGGTGTCCACGATATATTCTAAGTTTCAGATTCAAGACACCTTACAAGAGATGGCCAATGTTTCTTTATCTACCTCCCTTGTACAGCCCAGGAAATGCACAGCCATGTGGACCCTGTGGCACACACTTCCTCTGTCCTGAGTTTACTTAAGTGAATGCCTGTTTTACTGCTCAGAGTGTAGCTGAGATGGCCTACAGTAGAGGGAAGGATTGCAGGGCAGGAATTATGAGAATGTCACCAATATGTCACAGACCTAACATTCTGAGTATGGATTATTGTGTCCAGGTATAAACCTGGCTGGGTAAAGAGGTGTTTCTGAGGTGTACAGAGATTGCAGCGCCACCTTAGCCAGTCATATTTAGCACTCCGCCACGTTGCTCAGAAACCTTCCAAATCTGAATGGCATAGGCAGTGTTTTGAAGGAAAGCAGTAGTTTCCTGGTAAATTGCTTCAGCCTGGATCAGAGGTTAGCTCCACTTACCAGTGCAGACAAGGGCCTCTCCAGGTGTAGACTACTGATGAAGTCATAGCCAAAAGGGAAATGCTTTCAGTCGTAACTGATTTTATAAGATCACAAAAGAGATACTGTAAGGCCTGCCTGACATCATCAATGGAAAATGAGAAGAAGATGAGGGCTGAGTGTATCTTTCATTGAAAGGAGAGAACACAGATGAGCTCATCTGAATTTTTTACAGGAAGGGAAACAGAAAAGATTTCTCCTTTCCTGGCATGTTTTTCTGTGTGTCTGTGTGTCTGTGTGTCTGTGTGTGTGTGTGTGTACGCACACATGTGTGTGTGTGAGGTGTGAGGAATAGTTGACACATATTGCGACTAAAAAAGAGATCAGAGAAACCTCATTGGGAAAATAAAAATAAAAAGTTTTTGGTTTTTTTTAATTATTCCTATCTGCCGCTCTCCATCACTATTTAGTAACTGCAATAAAAGAAACCATTGTAAGCTTTTCATAATGTAAGTCATTTCAAATTGGCATCTCTGAATTTTTCATCCAGCAGTTCTATTAACCAGAGGTTTTCTTCATAGAGGGCTAGTTTCAGGGAGGGCCTTGGCTCCAGCGGCAAAGGCTGACAAAAGAAAATTTGTTCCAGTGCATTAGATCAAAGGGAAACAGAAGTTTGACTGTGTTCCTGATGTCACTCTGAGCCAGGTGGTAATCACCATTGACGGAATGAAGCTACCATCCAAGAAACCTCATTATATGACATGATAATGAGTAGCCAAAAGCCCTTAAGTTTTCCTCAAGTACAGAACTGTGCAATGTCCACCAATGACCCCAAGCATTTAGAGAACTTGCATAAAATCAATACAAATAGAGCAGGAAAATCAAACTTACTCAGCTCCCCAGTAGACTGGAGGACATGAAAGAGTACAAATGGCCCGAGCAAACCCTTCTCACTCTCAGAAAAGAAGCTCCTACATCCATCCAAGGGGATGCAGAGAGGCTGGGTGTTCAGATGGGTAGTGGGATGTGTGCCCTGGTTAGTGGTTCCTAGGAGAGGCTGTAGCATCATGTGATGGTACTAAGCATGGGGCCCTGTCTAGAACTCGCAGAACACGCAGAAGAAATCATGACACAAACACTTGCTGCCTTGTTCTCCTGGGGGGTCATCTACTTCAACTGAAT